ATGATATCAACTTTTTAAAGATTCCACACATAACAAGATCACACAGTATTTGTCTTTCTGTGTTTGGCTTATTTCAGTTAGCATAATGTCCACTAGATCATACAGATTGCTGCAAATGATAGGAAATCCATTCTTTTAAAAAGCTGAATAGTGTTCCACTATGTGTCTGTGTGTATCTATCTGTATATAAACATATATATCACGTCTTCTTTTACTCATTTATCTGCTAATAGTCACTTAGTTTGATTCCATCTTATAGACCCTATAAACCAATACTGCAATAAACAGTACAGACAGTTCTTTGAAATATTGACAATTTCTTCTCAATACATAGTCAGAAGTGTTATTGCTGGACCATATAATAATTTCTAATTTTAATTTTTAAAAAAATTTTAATTTTAATGTTTTAAGGAATTTCTATATTGTTTCCCATAGTGACCACACCATTTTACATTCCCACCAATAATGTACAAGGGTTCCCTTTGTTCTACATTCTCACTGACACTTGCTATCTTTTGTCTTTTTGATAATAGCCATTCTAACAGGTGAGAGGTGATATCTTATTGCAGTTTCACTATAATTTTTCATTGGAGGAGTGTTAGATTGCATTTCCCTGATGATAAGTGAGGTTGAACATTTTTTCTTTTACCTGTTAGCAATTTGTATATCTTTTAAGAAATGTCTCTTTAGGTTCTCTGCCTTTCTTTTTTTTTTGGTAGCACTGGAGATTGAACCTAGAACTTTACAATGCTAGGAAAAAGATTTACCACTGAGCCACATCCCCAGCCCTATTCGTTTTGAGACAGGGTCTTGCTAAGTTACCAAGGCTGGCCTCAAACTTGGGATCCTCCTGCCTCAGCCTCCCAAGAAGCTGGGATCATAGGTATGTGCCACTGCACCTGGTTGAACTAATTTTTATATATGTGAAGAAAGGGTCCAATTTTGTTGTTAGGCAAGTGAATATATAGTTTTCCAAACATTCTTTATATTAAAGACACTTACCTTTTCCTACTATGCTCTTGGCAACTTTATCAAGATCAACTGATAATAAATGAATTTATTCCTGGGCTCTCTTTTCCTTTCAATTGGTCTATGATGTCTCAGTTTTTAATACTAGTACCATTTTTTTTTTTTTTTTTTTTTTTGGCGGTGCTGGGATTGAACCCAGGGCCTTGTGCATGTGAGGCAAGCACAGTACCAACTGAGCTATATCCCCAGCGCCCCCATTCTATTTTTGGTTACTACAGGTTTATAGTCAATTCTGAAGTCAGATAGCACTACGTCTCCAGCTTTGTTCTTTTAGCTCAAGAATGCTTTGGGTATTTGGGATCTTTTCTGGGTCCACACAAACTTTAGAAATTTTAATAGTGCTGTGAAAAGTGACTTCGGAATGAAAGGAATTACACTAAATCTGTAGATTGTTTTGGGTAGTATGAACACTTTAAGAAAATTAATTCTAATTCATAAACACAGGATATTATTCCACTTATTTGTGTCTTCTTCAACACTTTTATTAGTGTTTTCAGTGTACAGATCTTTTGGTGTCATTAAAAGTTTTGTATTTAATGCTATTGAAAATGGGATTATTTTCCTGATTCCCTCTTTGGATAATTCACTGTGCAGTATTGAAAATGTAACGATCTTTGTATGTTGATTTTGTATCCTGCAACTTTACTGAATTCATTAGTTGTTATATTTTCTGGTGGAGTCTTTATAGGTTTCCCATATATAAAACTGTCATCTGCAAACAAATAAAAATTTACTTCTTTCTTTACTATTTGGGTTTTTTTTTCTTCTTTTTCTTGTCTAATAACTCTGGCTAGGAGTTCTTGTACCACACTAAATAGAAGTGATAAATGTGGGAATCCTTGTCTTATTCCTTGCTCTAAGAATTTCATTAATGAATATGTTAGCTGTGACCCTGTCATATGTAGTCTTTACTGTGTTGAGGTATATTCCTTCTATACCTAATTTATTGGTTTTTTTTTTAATCATGAAAAGACACTGAATTTTGTCAAAATTTTTTCCTGTCTATCTTAAGATGATCACATGATTCTTGTCTTTCATTCTGGTAATATATTGTTATTGCATTGATTTGTATATGCTGAACCATCCTTGCATCTCAGGGGTAAATCCCACCTGATCATGGTGTATGATTCTTTTTATGTGCTGTTGAATTTGGTTTGCTAGTATTTTGATAATTTTTGTATATATGGTCATCAAGGAAATTGGTTGGTAATTTTCTTTTCCATAAGGTACTTTTTAGAGGGGGCAGTACTGGGAATTGAACCCAGGGCCTCGTACTTATACATGCTCTATAAGCACTCTATCACTGAGCTACATCCCCAGCCCTTCTGTAATGTCTTTATCTAGCTTTGGTATCATGGTATTGTTGGCCTCAGAGAATAAGTTGTGTTCCTTTCTCTTTGGGTTTTTAGAAAAGTTTGAGAAAGACTAGTAATAATTCTTCTTTAAATGTTTGGTGGGACTGCAGAATTTCCTTTCTAAAGCTGAATATGTATCCATTGTATGTATATGCATATATACATATATGTGATCTAATCTCTTTGTATCTTAAAAAGTTCAACAGCTAAAAGAAGTAAAATAAAAAGGCAATGTTTGTGGAATGTACAGTGCATACTGGTGGTGTACACCTCATTATGATTTGCCTGCTTGCTTCTCTTATTCAATTGTTTCTTTAGGTAGAGGATTTTTCTCTTGCGTTTCTGTCTTCTTCAATTTCGACTTATCGAATTTCTCGATCTCAGCCGTATTGGGTCTGTCAGACATGGTTTCGGAGGAAGCAGAACAAGCCGCGAGAATGACAGAAGTCTGGTCTGCAAAGTGACCACTATTGAGTTTTTCTCCCATTCTTGTAGGTTATCTTTTCACTTTCTTGATGATGTCCTTTGAAGCATAAAAGTTCTTAATTTTGATTATGTTTGGTTGGTGTACTTTATCTTTTGTTGCTCATGCTTTTGGTACCATATCTAAGATCCTTTGCCAGAAACCAAGGTCATGGGCTGGGGCTGTGGTTCAGAGGTAGTGCACTTGCCTGGCATGTGTGAGGCACTGGGCTTGATTCTCAACACCATATATAAATAAATAAAATAAAGGTATATCATCAACTAAAAAAAAAAAAAAAAAAAACCACCAAGGTCATGATTTACTCACTCATATTTTCTTCCAAAAGTACTGTATTGGTCTGTTTTGCACTGTTGTAACAAAATACCTGAGGCTAGATACTAAAGAAAAGAGGTTTATCTAGCTCACAATTTTGGTGGAAGAAAGTGGTGAGGAAACCCCTAATCATACTGCATCATAGTAAATGGTCTCATGACAGGAGTGCATGCCAGATCAAATGGTGAGACAGGAAGCCAGGGACCAGGGAGGGGCAGGTCTTGCTCTTTAACAACTCAGCTCTTCTTATGGGAACTAACTGGGGATCCAACTAGAACTGCATTAATTTCTTCCAAGGGCAGTGCCCTTGATGACCTAAAATCTTTCACTAGACCCCAGCTCTTCCACATCACTTTCTAATACTACCACTCTGAAGACCAAACTTCTAATACATGAACCCATTCAGGGCAAACTCATCACAAATATTATAGTTTTAGCTCTTACATTTAAATCTTTGACCTATTTTGAGTTAATTTGTGGTGGTATGGGTCCAGTTTCATTCTTTTGCATGTGGCTACCCAACTGTTTCAGCACCATTTGTTGAATTTTTTCCCCACTGAGTGGTAATTGAAGGTTATGGTTCCCTACCAGTCCTCCTGCCCCACCCTCAATGATCCTGATACCAAAACTCCTCCCATGACCTGGCCCTGCCCTGCCCCCCAAAAGGGCCTGCAAAAAACAACTAACTCCTCCCATGGCCTGGCTCTGCGAAGGCTGTATATAAAGCCCAGTAGCCAGTAGCCATTTTACCCCCTAAAAATGAGCCACATCAGGTATTTGACCATTGACTCTGCCACTGAATCAAGAAAAGCTTGCTGATCCAAGGTCTGCTCCCTACTTCCACATTTGTGTGCCATGCATTGTCAGTAATGGCATGCCTAAAAAAGGTTAGTTGACTTATGAGTTGACTATTTCTAAATCTTCACTGTTTTACTAGCCTCCTAGCTGATAATTTAATAAGCCTGTTTCTTAGTATTTTTTACTCTAGTTGCTATTAAACAATGAATATAACAGGCCCAAGGATAGTCTTTCAGTAATATACAGCATCCTCCTATTTGGTTTATATTAAACATTAGTCAGTATTCTTAAAAACAATTAACAAATCAGTTATGAATTCAATTATATCTGCTATCACCAAGACATCATTTCCTGATTATATCCACAACTTTATCACCAAGTAACACTATGGAGTATCACTCCATAAAATATCCTACTGAAATCAAGGTTATATTATTCTAATAAGAGATTATCAATACAGAGATAAAAGAATAAATCACCATTTCCCCCCCAAGTGTCCACAAAATGTTGAATAATCCTTTCTACAAATGTTTTACAGGAAACATATTTGTAATTGGGGGATTAAAAATCTACAAAAATCTAGTGTCTACATATTGTTATATAGACATCTGAGACCTTTAAATATTATTCCTGATTCTAGAACAGTTAATTAATTAAGTTTGATTAATTGATTCTAATCTTAATTTCCTCTATACTGTCTTTTTTTTTTTTGCTCAGTTTTTTTCATTTAAAATCTGAAAATATTTCTTATTATCTATATTACCTACTAGTTGGTAGATTCAAATATGAAAATTAATTTTTTCACACTATGATATTCCCATAGAATGGATGATGGCTGGGTAAGTTAGGAAAAATGTTAGCATTCAGAACCCAGTGGAAAATAAAATACTTTAGCAAATATATACAATCATTGAGATCAGTTACTTGCATTTCATATTAAGTACTATATATTACAAGGAGTCAAAGAATCAATGATCTTTAGAAATATATAATATTTCAATTCATTTGTCTTTTAGTCTCACCTGAAAAGTGCATATACCAGGGTAGCAATCAAAGTGAAACTGACCACAACTGCCACAAGTACTTGGTCACTTACTCCTTCTATAACTGAATCATCATCCAGTTTCAAACTTTGAACTTCACCTTGATATCTGGCCATTCCAGGTCTAAAATATGAAGAAACAAGACAAAAGTACAAATGACACAGTGCAAATGAAATATATCAGTAAAAGTAATGTAAGTATAGCTGACTTCTAACATAATTAGCATTTGTGGTATTCCCTTAATGTAAGGTACATTAACCACAACTCTTGTGAAGATTCCCCTACTAATGAATTCTTTAAAATTTGTCAGAAACATTATTTTGGGGAGTACAAAATGCTATTTCCTTTAAAACAACTACTATAATTTATCATCCATTTTTCAGACTTTTTTATTTTGGTAGGGAGATTGAACCCAGGGTTCAATCCCTGAGCTCCAACCCTGGCCCTTTTTTATTTTTTGAGATAGGTTCTCCTTAAGTTACTTAAGACCTCACTAAGTTGCTGAATTTGGCTTCGAGCTTATGATCCTTCTGTTTCAGCTTCCAGAGTCCCTGGGATTCTAGTGTGTGCCAGTTCGTTCAGCCCTTAGATAAACATTTTAACAATAGCTTCCTGCTGCAGGGCACCCTGGCGCATGCCTGTAGTCACAGCAGCTGGGAGGCTGAAAGAGGAGGATGGGGAGTTCAAAGCCAGCCTCAGTAATGGGGAGGCCAAGAAACTCAGTGAGATCCTGCATCAAAAAAAATTTTTTTTTTTGACCAACTACTCTTTTCTAACTCCTGAATACCAAAGAAATTCTTCAAGTTCATCAGATTACTCTTCTCCTTCACAGCACTAAATATGTATGTCTTATGGAATTTACCATGTATGAATGCAAAAGGAAATATATTATAGCCTTTTACAAATATTCCTGTATTCCTAAGTTGTGCTCTGTACACAGGACAACCTAATAAGTATCTACATAAATAAGTCACTTACTATACTTACAGTGTAATTGGAAAAGCAAAAGATGGTTAGCTGATAGGACATTTATATTTATACTAAGATTACTTAAATTAGTGAAAATTTGGATGCTTGAAAATCTATTAATCCTACCTAAAACTAAACTCAGCTTACTGTTCAGAATTCTTTCTGAAAATATGAAATTACTGTGAGGCTGCACTTCCTTGTGAAGAGAAGAGGAAGAAAACAAAACTCTCTTTCCCATACTCTAAACCAGAGAAAAACGGTAGTACCCAATTCTATAGGTAAGACAGGAGAGAGCCCAAGCAATTAAGAGTCTATTAAATATCACAGGTACTTCTTTCTTCAGAAGACAAAACTATAAAGTTCAAACTTAAAGGGAAATAAAGAAAATATTAAATTAAATATATGTAATAGAACTGAAATAAATTTCTGCATTTATAGAATTTATTACATTGGAAGAGTATTTAATCCAATATCATCATAAATCAGGTAAGTCTCTGTTACAAGGAAATTTTTGAGTGAAAGTCTAATATCTTTGAAATGAATCTGAACTGAATAACTAATAAGAAAAATACCTCTCATGGAAGAAAACTAAGCAGAAAAAGAAAGATCAAAGGCCAGTTTAGTAAGCTTACACTTAACAATAGCCTGATGACCAGGAACTCTCTAATGACAGATTTCAAATCCCCTTTATGAAGGTACATACCAAGAAAGTCAGACAAAGAGCTCTAATTTCAGTATTTTCATTCAAAATAACAATCAAATTAACTGCTAGCTGAAAATAGGGGTAGGGAGGAACCTCCAATAATACAAAGATAGGCCAGCTAGGTAACTTCAATTTTTTAAATAGGTTTCCTCTTTTTAAGTTAGAAATGCAATGTCAGTGTCAAAAGTCCTACAGGCAGCAAGACCTACTTGTATTTGTTCAAAGATAATCAAAATGCTATCTCTGTCAAGATTCCTGGCCTCTAATTACTGAACCTAATTACTTCAGAGTTGTGAGAATTAAACCAAATTAAACAGAGGCAAAAGTGCTTTGGAAGTTAAGTGCACCAACAAATATACTATAATTATATTACTCATATTTTCTCCTATGTTATACATTTAGGTGGCCTACTACTTAGTAGTTAAAAAAAAGCTTACCTACCATGTGCAAAGCCCTAAATTCAATCCCTGGGATGCACAAAAAAGAAAAAAGAAAAAGATGCCTTATATTTGTTTCCCTGTCTTTCCATGTGTAATCAGTGATAATGTGATTAAATTCGACTGTACATGTGTATATCCTGTCCATAATTTGACTTCTATGCAATTAAACCCTTAAGATATTATTTCCTACATACTTCAACAGCTCAGAGATCCAGGATACTTTAGGTATTTATATTATAACATATAACATTATCTGCATCATTTTACAGCAGACTCCAACATTGTTGAGAGAACAAAAAAAAAGTGTACTCTGTCACATGGAGATCTACTAATGGTATTAGGTCTATGTTGAGGGACCATATAATACTTTGTCATAGCTTGATTAGAGTTAAAAAGGAATCAAGAGCCCTAAAATCAGATAAAATAAGGTACTATACTACAACCTCAGTTTGGAAAGAGGATGGTCTGATTTAAGAGAATAGGAGATAAACAATACAAAAAGATCACAATTTCCTACTCAAGTTGACATAATAACTCAGTCTTAAAGATGAATTCCAAAATCAATCTGGATTACAGTTCTCCAACTTCTGTTTTTCATAGTCAATGCTGGTTTAGAACAATATTGTAAGGCAATTCTATCTGACAGCGCAGTTTCTTAATTGAAGCCCATTTTGCTGCTTGGATATTAATAGCCTGGATTTTAGTTCCAGTTCTGCTGAGGAGACCCCACCATTTCCCAGGACCTCGCCTTTTCTGCAAGTGTTAAAGTTGGACTAGATGGTTTCTTCAGTTTCTTTCACCAAAACATTTTTCAGTTTTCAGAATAGGAAAAAGTCGTAGGCTAGGGCTGTAGCTCAATGGTACTACAAGATGTTATAAATGAGGTCTTGAGTTCTATCCTTAGGACCAAAAAAAAAAAAAAAAGCAAAGCAAAAAGTTGGGCAAGATAAAAACCCAAGTTTAAAGTGGTTATTCATTGGGGGGTGCTGAAAGGGAAGGGCCAAACCATCTTCCCAGGATATGGTTCTATATTTTAAATCCTTCTTAAGTATGTATTACTTTAAGAGTAAAAACAAAGCCAGTATCTGCCTCTTCCATTGAGATGCAAATTAGGCCTCAAAGTTCCTTCTTGATACCAGAGATTGAACTCTGGGGCACTCTACCGCAGACACATTCCCCAGCCCTATTTTGTATTTTATTTAGAGACAGGGTCTCCCAGAGTTGCTTAGTGCTTGCTAAATTGCTAAGGCTGGCTTTGAATTTGCAATCTTCCTGCCTTAGCCTTTTAAACCACGGGGATTACAGGCGTGCATCACCACACCGGGCTCTATACCCATTCTTATCACCTAGTTAGTTATTTTATTTCCTGATGATGTTTTCTAAGACATCCCTGAAGGGCAAATGGAGGTACCCAAATGGACTATAGGGCATGTCAATTGCTAAGATCTTTGTGTTATGAACTCCTTTCATTCAAGAACCTTGAGCAGTGCAGAATCTTACATGGTATAGGGGCGATTAAATGTTGATTACTTGAAACCCAGAAACAAGATTATTAAATGTATGGAACATGACCTTTAATTTACTTCATAGGATCCTGTGCAATACGAAAATAAAGTTATTAGTATTCTGTTTCTGAGTATTTACAAAAACAAAATACCATAGGTCTTGGAAGGTATAACTGATAGAAGTCTGAAGAGGAACTGGCTTTGCTATTGCTTAGCTATCGAAATCTTACTGAATAGTAGCTTAATATAGCAAAGAAAGCATAAGCTTTGGAGCCAGACAACTATGTACTTACGTAAAGCCTGAGTCTCAGCGTTCTCATATATAAAATGCATAAAATTAGGTTGAATCACATCAAACTGCTATTTTGGACAAAAATTAAAAAGTGTAACCTTGTGAAATTTACAATGAGAATATAAAGATAAAGCACTTAACATATTGCTGAGCACAATTTACAGGTTCTTAGAAAATGAAAGACATAACATTTTGATTACCTTTAGTAACTGCCAAGGAATCAGCAGAATGATGATAAAAGTTGTGTCTTGTAATATTGCAATAGAGGTCCTAAGTAACTTAGCAAGCCCTTGTCTCCAGAAAAAAATAAGAAGGGGCTGAGAGATGTGACTCAGTGGTTAAGCACAACTGAGTTAAATCTCTGGTACCAAAAAAAAAAAAAAAAAAGACTTCAAGGGGCAAGTAGTATTTTCTTACATTTACAAAATAATGATAAATCATCATATGTAAGCAGTTAGCTAATAATCTTCTGCAAGCCATTATTAAAAACTCAATACTATAAAGCATCTCAACATCTCTTTAATTAAAGTTCTAAGTATCTGTTCTCTGGGGAAGACTGGATGAATTTGGGAACACCACCATACAGGCCACTACCATGTTCACTGGAATCCGATAAACATCTACAGAAGACAACTAGCTTCCATTTAGCCAGAATAGGGAGACAGCTAAGACAAGTTCAATTCACCTCTCCTGAGCCTTTTCCCTGAGCTTCAGGGAAGAGAGAAAAATAAAAACCAAAACCAAAAACCAAACAAACAAACCACAATAATAAGGAGAAAATAGGAAATTCTAGAACTTCTTGGAACAAAGGAGAAACTCAGGGTTTCATGTTCATATAGAAATGTGATGGCCTTATGGCTTCTTCAATTACTCATTCAATAAACTTTTAATAAAATTTTCATAAAGGCAAAGTGGAACTATGAAATAAAATCTCAAAACACTGCAATATCATGCAGAAAAGCAATGTGGGTAAGCAGTCAAGCTTGGAAAAGGAGGCTTTAGATCAACTGTGTCAAAGCCTTGAAAACCTGAAAACTTGGAATAAAGATGCTTACTACAATATCATAGACCCTCCAGCAGGGACAGGACCAATGGTCACATCCAAAGACAAGGTGCATAAAGTCAGCACAACATATACTTACTGAGTTTATTTACTTGTCTAAAAGGGCATAGTCACTTACAGTGACTAGTAATCTACAGAAACAACTTAGTATGGAATGAAGGAATTCTGGTTTGACAAAGATTCTGAGGTAACAACACAGGAACCAAAAGCAAAAGAGATTCACACTTTAATTTCTAAAAGCTTTCCCCGCTTGGTGTAAGGAAGAATGTTTGCAAGAAAGACCACTGAGAAGCCTTCAGGTGGAGATGGGCGTTATGACTGTTATTCCAGAGGCTGTAAGGGCTGAGGTTCAAAGCCAGCCTCAGCAACTGAGTGAGGCCCTAAGGAACTTAACAAGACCCCGTGTCCAAAATAAAAAGAAGCGGCTGGAAGATGTGGCTCAGTAGTTAAGCACACCTGATTTCAATCTCTGATACCCCCTCCTCCGCAAAAAATGACGTCAAGGGACAAGTAGCATTTTCTTGCATTCACAAAATAATGATAAATCATCATGTGTGAGCAGTTAGCTAGTAATCTGCGAGCCATCATTAAAAACTCAATAATATCTTGACAGCTCTCAGTGCTGAGAATATATACTCCACCCCCCCATCCCCTCCTAGCCACCTGCAATACTGGGGACTGAACCCACTGCCTACACATGCTAGGCAAGGGCTTATTAATGGGAAGGGGGCGGGGCGTGGACTCCAGGAAACAAAATGAAAATGTGTCTTGGGAAGTTAATTTTGCACCATTATAAATAAAAGTTTTGTATTATATAGTATCTATGGACACCCTGTGAATTTACAATTCTTTCAGGACCTCAAGTTTCGTGTCTTAGAAACTCCAGCACCTTTGCATGGAGTCCACGTATTTTTATAGTAATTGTTCTGAGCAGCCTCAAACCTCAACAAAATGTCCAACACCAGATTGGATACACTGCTAAATTCACCCAATACCAATGATGAAAATTACCTTATATAATGACAAATTTAATATTAATTGAAAGTCACAAAATAACGGGATATGATTCCATTCATATAAGTTCAAAAATCAGACAAAGAAAAACCAAACTGCATGCATACATAGGTGGTAAAATTATTGGGATGGAATTACGCTCAGAAGAACACAGGTATGGGCGAAGAAACTCCTGAAGAGCCGGCAATGCTGAGTGTTTCATTCATTAGCCCTTAAACATGTATGTCACGCAAGTTTCTGCATATAACTAAATTGCTTTAAAATGTATCCGTATACCTATGGAGGATGGTGCGTCCGTAAGGGCGAGAACGCGACAATAATTTACTCTTTCATTATAAGGGAAGCCTACTCTGAACACCAGAAGAAACAGGGCCTAAGCACTGTTGCAGTCCTTAAGGATAGGTGAACTAGTGTCCACCCTCTCCGACTTCAAGTAAAGTTTTCGGGGAATCGAGGCTCCAAGAGACCCAACAGAGAACGAATGACTCCCCTCAGGGAGGGCCAAACCCACTTAAAGCCACCCAGAAGCCCTCCACCTAGCCGTCCCACCGTAGCCGAGCAGCTCCGGACCCGGCCCGGGCTTCCCTGGCCCGCGGGCAGCGACTCCCGCGCGCAGCCCAGAGACGACCCCGCGCATCCAAGGGCCTGGGTTCGGGGGCGTGGCCGAAGACGCACTCGTGTCGGGAAGTGGGGGCGCGTACCTCTCCACCGCAGGGGACTACCTCGCCAATTCCTGGTGGCAGAGATTAAAGATTATTTCCGGGGAATGCCCCCGCCACCCCTCCAGGGAAACCACAAGCCGTCCCCTTTACAATTTGAAATGCGGGCGCAGGCGCACGCGCACTGCTAAGCTTCCGTGACGGCGCCAGCGGGCTGGCAGGCGAGGAAGACCCGCGCCGCTGGCCGGGCGCGTGCGCGTCGGGCACGCTGCGGACAGCGTCGGGGCGCGCGGGCGGAGTGCAATTCGATTGTGCGCAGTGGCTCGCCGCCGCGGCGCTCGCCGGCAGCGGAGCTCGCTGGAGGCGGTGGAGGCGGCCGGGGGCGGGGACGCGGGTTGGCGGGCGTGGTCGTGGGCTCGCGGCGGCGCGCAGTCCCGAGTGAAAGGAGAAGGAGGGGCACGGGGGTGACGGTGCGGGACACACTGCCAGTGCCGGCGAGTGTTAGGCGGCCAGGGAGCGCAAAGGAGGTGGGCCAGAGGCCCGGTCAGCTGCCCGGACCCTCCGGACCAACCCCAGGCCGAGCGGCGGCGGTTTCTGGCTAGGTGGGGAGGCGCTGCCAAGCCCCAGCAGAGGAAGATGTTCAACGTGGAGTCGTTGGAGCGGGTGGAGCTGTGCGAGAGCCTTCTCACTTGGGTATGTGGTGACGGCGGGCCAATGGAAGACCCCCCTCCTCGGGCGCCTTTCCGGGGTACCCTCACGCTAGTCCCGGGGATCGAACGCCGAGGGCGGCGGTGCCGTCACATCCGGGGCCTGGGGCGGGCGGAGCTGAGGACGCCGTGCGGGCTGTGACAGCACCCGCTGCCCGGCCGGGGTCAGCGGGGCGCAACCCAGATCGTGACAGGCGCGGCCTACGGTCCGAGAGAAACTTGCCCTGATGAGGTGTTGGTTGTTCTTCGAGTGGAAACCGGCCCGGTGGAAGCTAATGGCAGGGTGCTGGCGACACTGTAATTAGGATCGTTATTTGCAGCTGAGGCGGCGCTGGCGTTCTACTCTGGAGCTTCTTGGGACACCAAAGCGGTGCCCTGGCAATTGGGGGCTCTCGGGACCCCTGGTTATGACGCTTGCTTCTCGCCTTTGTTGTAACGTTCACGAAGGATAGAATATAACCCCTTGAGGAATGAGCCCTGCCCACTGGAAAAGAAAAGAAGTATTTCTAAGGGAGTGTAGGAAAAATATGAAGAGGCACCGGGGCAGAGTACTCAAGATGCCCTATGCTTTTAAGCTATTAGAAAGTAAGCGATGTGCAGGTACTTATAAAATGTATAAAAGATAAAAATTTAAGTAAAACTGGAAGGTATTTGGGGAATCATCAGTGGAACTCAAAGACATTTTGGGACAACGTTGTAGGATTCTAATCTGAAATTATTAAAGTAAAAGTGTTGGATTCTAATTTCAACAGTAGTGCCTTCAGTAGCTTCCTTCAAGAGCTGGACCTATGCTTCTATGTTTCATATTCTGGTGTGGGGGTTACAGGGGTATACAGAATCCTAGGTTAGACCAAGTGCCCCTTTCTGGAGCATTTGTTTGACTTGTTGCTAAAGAAATCAAATGTCCTTTCTAGAAGAAAACAAATGTATTTATGGAGGAGAGTATTTGTAATAATTTCATTTATTTATATATGGTTTGGGTGTTGGAGATTGAACCCAGGGCCTCCTGCATGCTGAGCATGGGCTCTACACTCAGCCGCAGCCTTCAGCCCTTTGTGTTAATTTTAAAGGTAAAAACACACATTAAAGGAATTCTGTTGTGCTGCCTTGGGTTACAAGTTAAGAATTCTGGAATATATACATTACTCTTTCCTGTTCAATGGCATTTTGCTAGAACGGTTTGAGAAGCATCACCTTGAGTTAGTTGTAACAAGTGAATGAAAGTAGTGTCTAACATTTTTATAATTTGACTACATTATGAATCAAGTTATGTCCAGAATATATAGTGGTAGAATATGATATATTCTGTTAGTTTTTTATTAAACCATTCTTGAGATTTCAGATTGTTTGCAATAATATTTAGAATTTACGTGCAACTAATGGTTCCAACTTCAGGCAAGGAGATAGACTTCACTGTTGTGTTTTAGAAAAGAGGATTTTGGTAAGTTGCATGATGTGGGCAAGATTTGACTAGTCAGGGGAGAGATAGATAAAGGGAAGAATTAGTAGATTCTTTGATTCTGTGGAAGAAAAAGATTTGCAAAGTTTGTAAACAGAAGGGTGCGGATCTTCAGAGTTTCAGTTGTTGGATCTGTACAAGTCACTACTCAGTATAGCCTCCCATAATGCTAGAAAAAGAAGCAGGAAGACAGATTGCATTGCATCTGAAGTGGTGCTACATTGTTTAAAATCTAGTTTAAAGTCTAGAAATAAAAGTCATGAGTATAGAGATATATTTGAAGAGCATCTGCAAAATAATAACAACAACAACAGTGCAATTGAGGGAGAATGCTTATAAAAAGAGGAAAAGTTAGAACAAATTTGAAGGGCTTCTAACAGAACCTTACAGTTTAAGAGAATTGTCAGGTGCTGTGGAGCATTCCTTTTATCCCAGCAGCTTGGGAGGTGAGACAGGAGCATCCCAAGTTCAAAGTTAGCCTCAGCAATTTAGCAAGGCCCTAAGCAACTTAGTGAGACCCTGTCTCAAAAAAAATAAAAATAAATAAAAATTAAAAAAAAAAAAAAAAAAAAAACAGGCTAATGATTGGACTCAGTGGTAAAGCACCTCTGGGTTTAATCCTTGGTACCAAAACAAACAAAACAATCTGTTTAGAATTGGATACAGTGTCAGAAATAGGGGTAATCCACCTTATCAGCTGCAGGAGATGTCAAGGAATTTAGTATTATGGACTTCCTGAAATGTCACTGGAAGCCTCTTCAAAGAAAAGATCTAGAGAAGATAAGATTAGAGATTATCACTGACAAAACTGGAGAGTAGGGTCCACTAGGTGCTATTCTCAAATTCACAAACATTTTAAAACATTTTTTATTAAAATGTTTCAAAGTAGAGTTTTAATTCTGGGTTTGCTCTCTTTTGGCTGTCATTGTAAGAATAAATATTTATGTGAACAATGTTTAGGCAGCTGAACATGTTTGTTTAGTTTAATAACACTTCTATCTGAAGGTCAGACAAATGCTGAACACAACTCCAAAACCAAATATAAAGGAAAATTTATATAATACACTCAAAGAAAGCACTATCATTTAGAATAATTAAACTTCTAGTCAACTTGGTTGTGTGGTTTTATTAGCACACCATAGGCTGGAAGGTGGCTGCAACACTAGCAAAATACAGATAGCTGTTGGTGATAGAGAAGCCCCAAGAACTGACAGTCAGTCTGGTGATTCAGTCTTTGGGCTGACAACCTTGTGCATCAAGAACTACATGTTTCAAATTTTTGTTGAAAGTGGAATGCTTATAAAAAAACAAAGTATCATCCTTCTAGTGGAAAACATTTTAAGCTTAAATTCCAAATCAGTTTATGCAGCAAGCAAGCTCAGCAGGGTGTTCTTAGAAATTTCTACACTACCTTGTCTCCCCACCCTCTGATTCAAAATATATTCCTACCTGTTAGGGAAAAAAAAAAATTGGTCCTGCTATTACACCTATTAAGCCTAATTTGTGAAGTACATGAATTGCATTTTCCTAGGTTTTATGTATTGTTTTGCAATGCTGGGGGTGGAACCCAGTGCCTTCCAAATTGTAAGCACACTCTCTACTATTGACCTACATCCCCATCCTCTTTCCCAGGCTTTAAAAAGTGCTAAGAAAAACATTGTTGATGGCAAGAAGCTAAATGAAAGAGAATTGTCATATAGGCTTGCCTCACTTCTGGGAAATCCAGAAACCTGAACATATTCTTATTAATTTCATGTTATTTATTTAGAAGCCTATAAAATGCATAGTAGTGTATAGAATTAGGAAGGGTAAAATTATTGTGGTGATATCTCCTCCGTTCCATTGTTTCTCCTCTGCCTAATTCCATTCTACCTATAAATTTGATCTTTTAATGAAATAAAGAAATTTCTAAAAGAGAGGGTCAGTAAAGCATAGTAGTTCAGAATATAGCTTCTAATTTTAGCCTACCTAAGTTTGAATCCTGGTTTTAATTCATACTGCATTTGTTTCAGTGGCATTCATATTTATTATTAATGTTACCAACTCCAGAAATGGTTCTTATGCATTAGCATTAAATCAACATTACCTGGAGTGTTTTCACTCTTGTGCACAGGGTCAGAGTTGCTAATTCCATGGGTCTAGGGCCTGCAATTTTGCATTTCTTACAAGTTCCCTGGTGATGTGTCCTTAGTGACGTGGGAACCACATTTTGAAAACCACTGCTATAGAGCAGGGTTTTTTTGACCTTTTTGCCATTTGACATTTTGGACTGGATAATGTTTTGTTGTGGGCACTACCTGGTGCATTGTAGGGCATTTAATAGTAACAATGATTACTAAATGTTAATAGGACCCACCTAGCTGTAACTGTCAAAAATGTCTGAGGGAACAAAATCACCCTTGGTTGAAAACCACTGCTCTAAAGGTATTATTACCAGGTGATTACCATGCTTTACTTCTTTTGCATTTATGGAGGTGTGAGGGAAGGGGAAGGTTAGGTGGTGTTCATAGAGCTTGGTGGAATTAAAAGAATAGGTAGACAGTTCTACCCTTCAGTTAGAATTTTATGACAATGCAGTTAAATGCAGTTATCTTTTGATTTTACTATACTGCTATCCTGAAATGACCTATAGATGTTAGCACAGAATTGGTGATAGCTTTTTTTTTTCTTTTGAGGACTCAGACTTAGTTTTTTTTAAATATATGTTTATTTATTTATTTTTTTAGTTGTAGTTGGACACAGTACCTTTATTTTATTTATTTATTTTTACATGGTGCTGAGGATCAAACCCAGGGCCTCACACATGTTAGGCAAGTGCTCTACTGAGCCACAACTCCAGCCCTCAGACTTAATTTAATAACTACCCTTATCAAAGTCTTTTGACTTTTCTGTACATGAGTTACAAATAGGTCACAGGTACATGGCTAGACAGGTACATGGGCTAGAAGTATTCTAACTTTTTTCTTCTCACAACATGGGAACACAAAGATACTAATAATTGAAAGAAGAGGAAGGCTGCTGAATCAGAATCTTATGAACTTTTTAAAAACTTTTTTTCTAGGCAAAAGCAAACTGTATATTCTATCAGGTTTTTTTTAATCTAGATAATCTACATACCATGAACTTTATCCTTTTAAAGCATACAGTTCATTGGTTTTATTATAATAGAAAATAATTAGATGCCACATCTTAAAAATCAAAATGAAAATTTAGCTTTCTATGAATCCTAAAAGAAAAACAGATTGAGTCTTAGAACCAAATCTCTTGTTTATAAAAATTACTTGCTTTATTGAATTGTTTCTTCTGATTGGCCCCAGGCAGTTTTCTAATTTGTGTCCTAGGTGGAAATAGAGCTCAATAATAGAGACCACTTGCTTGCAGAAGTCTCTGGGTTCCCTTCCCAGCCCCACAGGGATTTAGGGAAAAAATAATCTTGTATCCCAAAGTGCTTTAGATTAGAGGGTTCCAGATGTTAATCCAGTGTCCAGCTATGAGAGATTATTTGATGAGTTTGTTAAAAACATTCC